AAGTTTATCATTTATTATAATAAGACTTTATTCATATATGGCGAGATAGATATTCATACTTGAATATTGATTTAAGATGATATAGTTTTTGAGAAAAAAAAATAACTGATGTCTGGTATTTAGATGACTATTTGATGATTCACATAATTTTATTTCTTGGTGTGAGTTATATTAGGAGTTTTTTTTTTGTTGCATACTGAAAAATTCAATTAATAAATCAATCTATCAAATGACACATCCAATATGAATGCGATGATCTATTTTTCTTAAATTCGAAACTTAAATATCTAATTAAACAAGAAATTGATCTGAAAAATCTAATTAATAATTTTATAAGAAGTTTCAATTATTCACTGGGTAAAATTTCATATAGTTAACATCAATATATAAAACATTTTTATCTTTAAAAAATAATTTTTCTAGTAATTTAATATAGTTCAAAGGTATAGAGTTGGTTTTTTTTTGTTCTCAGAATAGTTTAATAGAATGTTTAGAATAAAAAAAAAAACACTATCTTACCGATGTATTTTTTGCATCGAGTACTTCCTTAAATAAATGAATAAAACTAAAGTGAAATAATAAATAAAAAAGAGATAAAAACAAACTTCAAGTTTTCTTGTAACAACTGAAAGTGAAGCTGGATCAAGATTTGATGCTGAAAGAACTTCATTAAGTTGAGCTTCTTTCTTTTCCAAACTATCAGCTAATGTATTTAATTTTTTTTCTAATAATAAATTCTTTAAACTACTCTTTTGTTGTACTTCATTAATAGCTTTTATAAATTTATTATAAAGATCATCACGTTCTTTTTGAATCTAAAAAAAACAATAAACAAAACGATAAAAAAAAAATATATTGACATACAATTTCAAATTTTTGTAATAAAACTTCATATTCCCATTTAGAATTTTTAAAATCAATTTCACTATTTTTCAATTGAATTTTTTTACTCTAAATATAATAATACAAAAAATTTGATGTTTTTTTTTTTCTTCGAGAAAAAAAAAATACTTCATATAAACTTTTAATTTTATCATAATTTTCAGCTCTTCGTCTTAATTCTTCCATTTCTTTTTTTGCAGCTTCAAGTGGTTCACGCATTTTTCGATTTTCATTTTCAAGTTCAATCATACGTTTTTCTAAACGTTCTTCTTCTTGTTTTTTCTTTTCAATTTCATTCTTAACAAAAAAAATAAATAAATAAAGTAAAAAGAAAAGATATTATATAAATGATTATTAACTTTAAGTGTATTAATTAAATTAAGATTATTTAATGTAATATCATTATAATAATTTTTAATATCACTAAATGCTTTTTCATGATTACGTAAAAGATCATTTATTTGTTGATTTTTTCTTTCTTCAATTTCATGTATTTCAGTTTTACGACGTAATTCCATTTCTTCTCGAAGATCATATAATTTTTTTTCATATTTTTCTTCTATTTCTCGAGATTGTCGAAGAAAATCATCACGTAATTTCGATACATATGATTCATTTGTCTATATATATTATATGAAAAATAACTAAATAAATAAAAATTGATAACAAAAAAAAACCTTTTTTAAATTTCGTATAACTTCTTGTTGAGCTAATTCTTGATCTTTCATTTGTACTTTAAGTTCTCGTTTTTCTTTCCACATTGTATTTTCTGAATCATTATGACCTTCTTGAGCAACTTTTAATTCAGCTATTGTTTCAGCTTTTAATTCAGCTATATTATTTTGTTGTTCATAAAGTAAATGTTTTACTTTTTGTTTGTAAACCTAATTTTACACAAACAAAATTTCAATTATTCAATCTCATTTATTTATATTTAAAACATACTTTTATTTCTGCTTGATGTTGTTCTTCAGCATCTTCTAATTCACGATCTTTATTTCGTAATTCAGCTTTTTTTTCTTCAAGTTGTCGTTTCGTTATTTCCCAAAAAGTACTTATACGATCACGTTCAAGTTGAAAATAATTTCGTTCTTCACGTTCACGATCTAATTCTTCACGAATACGACCTAAATGTTCTTCTAATTCTTCTTTTGTCATCTATATTTATATATATATAGGTGTGTGAATATTAAATATAAATATTTTATAAATAAACCTCAGCAGCTGGACGACCATCAATAATGGTCGGTGCTTTTGGAGATTTCTTTTTCTTGCCACCTTTCTTTGGAGCCTAAAACAAAAGTATTTAGAATATTTTTAATATAATTTAATTGAAAACTTACCATAGATTAAATTTGAAGAAGAAATAGAAATTGTAAAAAAAATAATTGAATTGACATAATGTTAAATAAATGATTGATAATTATTATTGGTTGATAAGCAACAACCTCTTTAATATTGTTTTTTATTATAGAGGTCGTTAGAGATCATTGATAAATAATTGGTTTGAATTACATCAACTTATTCCACATACGTCAACAGAAACAAACGAATTAGTTTTTTCTACTCATTTTTATCTTTAAAAAAAAAAGGTTTGTCATTGTTAATGATGATTCTTTTCTTCTATAATATAGATAATCAAGAACTAAATGAGTTATTTTCATTTATTATATGAGTTATTATTTGATTTATTTCGATGAAATCGTTTTAATATAATATTATATATTGAATAGTTAATCAACATTTATTTTAATTGATTTAAGTAAATTGTATCTATAGTTAATATGAATTTTATCCTATGAAAAGTTCGATAATAATGTTTTTTTATTTTAAAATTTGATTTTCTCATAAGAAAATTCAATGAAACAATATTTATTGTTAATGAGTTAATGTTGTTCGATCATCTATTCTCAATATAGATAATATTTCATTTTGTTTTTTTCGATGTTAAATCAATCAGTAAGTTAGTTATTGAAATTATTTATATTAATACTTGACATATTTATATGTGTCAAGATAAAGTAGATAACAATTAAGATATGATCATTTCTCTCGACATTCTTCTTCAATAATAAATTTATCTTTTGTAAGTCGATATCAATAAGAATAAATTCTCTAATAGAATATACATTTTTTCTTCTAAAATCATTTTATTTCGAATTATTTTTAGAAGTGTAAAATATTTAAATTTTCGAAAGATATTTTATTAATCATCATATGAAATTGAAATCTTATCTCCTTTTTATTTATTTATATGTAAATAAAAATCAGAAATTGATCTTCTATATACATATTCGAGATGATTTTATCAATTTTTCTTTTCTATTGAATTTAAATCAAACAAAATAATAGATAAAAATCTATTCAATACGAATATAATTAATAATAATATTTTATTTACAATGAAGAAAAATTAATCTAATTCTATGATTTATCAATATAGAATGAGTAAAAGTTTATTTTATAAGAAGTTGATTTACTAATCATTTCTATAGACATGAATATGTTAAGACTATTCGAGATATATCGGGGTTGCAAGCTTGACTGATATCCCGTTTTAATACAGTCATATTGTAAGGATAAAACCTACTATTGTCCAGGCCATATAAGAGAGGATCCTTTAGAACCCTGGATTGGCCCGAACAACACCATGTTTTATCCTTACAATAGGACTGTATTAGAACGGGGTATCAGTCAAGCTTGCAACCCCCATATATATATATATATATTTTTGTGAAGAATAAGAAAACACATTGATCAATAATTGTAAATAAGCTTATGCTCGAGGCTAAATTCTTGTTTTGATCATTTGATTTGTTTATACATTATAATATATTCGTTGTTGTTGTTTAACAAAACAAAAATAAACTTTTTTTTTTTGTTTTTTGTTCATATAAATAATTGTTTTAATTTTTAGATAAACGAAAAGTGTAAAAACTCAAAATGAATGTTCGAGCAGGTGAACAAGGTGATTTTCTAGCTGAAGGACAATTAGCAATAGATGATGTTGGTGATGGAATTGTTGCTAAAAAAGAATTATCAAAACGTCTTAATAATAAAAATAATATGTCAATAGCTTATATTAATATTAAAACAAAATCTAATAAAGAATATTGTATTGAATTATCACAAAAAGGTTATCAAATAGTTGGTTATCATTTTGATCATAATAATCAACCATCAAATATTTATTATGAATCATTACAAGCACTTTTAACTAATGAATCACAATCTTATGTTGATAATTTTGCTCATAGTTTACAAGAAAAACTTTTTCAAACACAACATCAATTAGAACAATATCAAGATAATGATGATGATGATGATGATGATGATCACAATTCTAATACTTATAAAAGAAATTAATAATCAAAAAACACAACATTCCTTTATCCTTCTTTCTTTTTTTTGTGTCATGTACATCTTATTATACAGTGGACGTCAAAAGTTTCACACAACTTTGTTTTGTTTTGATTGACATTTCAAAATATAAATATAAATTTCTTTTTACCTTCGGATAGCGAAGCTTGAGTATTAATAATTCTTGAATCAAAAACATACGAAGAAAAACAAATTTCAGTACTACAAAAAAAACCCTACCCAATAAAAGACAAAATGGTATGATTATTATCAGTTATAGAAGTTTTACTAAAGTTGAATAAGACTTTGTTTGATATTTTTATATGTAATCGAGAGGTCTCGACGAGCTCTACAAAACTGTTTTTTAGAACTATTTTCTGAGAGAAAAATTTCTAATAAAATTATGATTTTTACCCTTTTATAGTATAAAAAAGATTCTTGACTTTTCATATAGAACAAAGGAAGCATGCAATTATTTTCTAATCTTTTTTTTGTCTCAAAAGAGAATTCTAAAAAAATTTTAATATAAACAGTTTTGTAGAGTTTATCGAGACCTATCAATTCAAATAAAAAATTATTCGATTTTCACATTACTAGAATCTTACTCAAACTCATAACAATCATACTATTTTGTCTTTTTTTTTGGATAGTTTTTCTTTGTATGTTTTCGATTCAAGAGTTATTAATTTGAAAAATATGCATCGAGCTTCGCTATCCGAAAGTAAAAAGAAATTTATATTTATATTTTGAAATGTCAATCAAAACAAAAAAAGTAGTGCGAAGACTTTTGACGTCTAACAGAATACAAATAAAATTCATGGATTATTTATTTCTTAGCTTATTTATTTAAAATAATATTTCTAGATGAATGATCATCGAATAATATCTCCTATTGAAATGTATTCAGTTGCACGTCATAATAGAAATTATTATAAAAGTGTTGTTTTTTATATTCGATTTGAAATATTGGAATATTCTATTTCTGAATGGTTAACATCTATTGAAAAATGTTTACGTTTAACAATAAATGCACAACCACGATTACGTTTACAAGTTGATCTTTCAAGAAAAGAACCATTTTTTATTATATTACCAATGAATATATTTGATTGTTTACCTATTCAAATAATTCAAAGAACTAATCATAATGATTATGATGATAAACAAGATATTTTTTTAAATCAAATTATAGAAAATGAAACAAATATTGGTTTTCATTATAATACATATTTACCTTTATGGCGTATTATTATTCTTATTTCACATTATAGTAATACATTTGATATTATTATGACATTTAATCATGCTATTGCTGATGGTATATCAGGTATGGCTTTTTTTACAACTTTTATTGAATATTTATCAAATAAATCATCTATGATATATACATTGAATAATGATCGACCATTACATGAAATAATTCCATATAAATTACCTAAATATTCTTCACTCATATTACAAATAATTGAAAAAATTCTTTTACCAAATATTCTTAGTAAATATTTTTTTTCTAAAACATATTGGACAGGAAATATTCAAAAAAATGAAAATAATTTATTATTTAAAACACATTTAGTATCATTTAAATTATCAAATGAAATTCTTGATTTATTACATAAAAAATGTCAATTAGAAAAAACAACAATACATACAGCAATATTATCATCATTATTATTATCAATAATAGAAATAATTGATAAAAAAAATCTTGAATTTTCTTGTAGTACAGCGATTAATCTTCGTCAATATTGTCAACCAATAATATCAAATAAACAAATGGGAGTTTTTATTTCAGCTGCAAATACTTATCATTATATACCATATAGAGAATATTTATTAGATTTATTTTGGCCATTATCTCGTCAAATAAAAGAACAAATAAATCAAGAAATCCAACATTCTGTTATACCATTAATTCATTCATTAAAATTTATACATAATTGGAATCAATTTTTAATTGATCAACGTAAAACATTACCAAATGGATATCAACATAGTGTTGAAATATCAAATTTACTTCGATGGTCATTTAAAACAAATAATACATCATTAAAAATACTTTATGGTGGTTTTACACAATCAGCTAATATTATTGGAAATGTTTTTCTTCTTAGTGTTGTTACTATTAATGATATTTTAAATGTTTATATTTCATTTCATGAAGAAAATTTTCAAAATATTCAACAAGTTAATTTTATCAAAGATAGAATGAAACAGATTTTAAATCAAGTTATTTATTTATAAACAATATTTATTTATTTTATTTTTTCATTTTTAGTTACATTTTCAAGAAAATTTCACTTTCCAAATTCTTTAATTTTTATAGATTTATTCAATCAATAAACTTCTTTTTATAAAGAAAAAATAATATTTCAATATAATTTTTATTTCATACTGATATCAATGTCACATATTAGAATTGTGTCCAAAACTATCAAATATGAATATTGAACTATTCGAATCAAAATATGGACACTTAACCTAACACTAAATTCTTCATCTATGATAGAAAATCAATTAATTACTCGAACATCGATCTAAAAAATATTTGAAACACTATCTTATAGTCTTATCAAATACAATAGACAATTATTTCATCTTCGAATTGATTAACTAGAAATTATTCAGAGATATTTTATCTTAACAAAACGAGCAACACAAATGTTATTTATTCTTCTTGACAGATTCATAAACAAATGTACTTCTTCGTGTGAAACCATTCCTTTCATTCATTCTAATCTTAACGATCAGTCTAAACAAATCCTCACATCATAGAAGTTTCCACAGACATTTTATTAATATCTCCTACTCTATCTCCCTAATATCTTAGCTCTCAAACTGGCATAAGGAAAATTAAAACTGACGATAATTCGTCGGAAAAGAACTTTAATCAATAAATACAAATATAGAAAAATAAAACGAGAAGTTATATTTATCGAATTTTTTTAACTCAACATTAGCTTAATTGTAGCTTGTTGTTAAATTCGATGAAATTTATCTAGATAACATAATTATAGACGACTTTATTGAAGCGAAATTTAAAATCAAAATGAACATTCATAACTAGTCTATACATTTTTTTGTTCAAGTTCACATTGAATTATGAATAATGTATAGATTTTCAATAAATGATTATTATATCACAAACGATAGAACTTTAAATAATTAGCTTCGTTTTTTTCATTTCATATTTTCTTATTTTTCCCTCAAAATCTATTGATATATCATATACAGTTGCCGCAAAAATTATCCGTACAATTTTGTTTTTGATGAACGATAGTCAGAA